GGGCGCCAGCGCTGCGAGCCCGATCCGGCCGGGCCTGCGGGAGAGCGCGGCCGTCACCGCGGAGGCGGCGGGGGGCGCTGGGGAGCGGCGGGGGTCGCGGTGGTCTCTCACCTCCCCCGGCGCCCTCGCCGTTGCAGCCGTGCGGCGGGGAGCAGCCGTCGCCGGGGCGGTCCCGGGGCATGGAGTAGGGCACCGGGGGGCTCTCCTGCGACCACGCCAGGCCCCCGCCGCGGCTCGGCGCCCGGTAGGCGCACGAGTAGAGGCCGGGCAGCGCCGCGTCCTCCACGAGCAGCGCCGAGGAGTTCCTGAAATTGGTGCGGGCTCCGCGCGCGTCGGGCCGCCGGTAGAAGAGGAACACGGTCACGGAGGTGGTGAGGGGCGCCAGGCAGCGCAGGGCCACGCGCTGCTCGCGGCCGGAGCCCCGCGGCAGCGGCGCCAGGCGCAGAACGGGCGCGGGCAGCGGCTCTGCGAGGGAAGGGCGAGGGCAGCGGCGGGGCCCGGCGCGCGGGCGGCCCCGCGCCCGGCCCCCTGCTCACCTGCGGGCTGCCCCGGCGCCGGCAGCGCGAGGAGCGAGGCTGCCGAGAGAGAGCGGGAGGCGGTGAGCGCGGCGGGGCCGGCGCCGGGGCACCGGGCCCGGGCCCCGCGGCGCTCACCCAGCAGGGGCAGGAGCAGCGGCGGAGCCATGGCCGGAGCGGGAGCCGCGGCGCCCGAGCCGCCCGCACCTCGCGCGGCGGGAAGGAAAGGTCCCTTCGGCCCCGGGACAAAGGCAGGAAGCGCGCGGACACCCCCCGGCTCCCCCCCGCGCTGCCTCCCGGCTTTCCTCTCCCCCGGGAGCTCCTCGGGACGGGACAGGACGGGGGGATGTCGGTGCAGCCCCGGTGCTTGGGACGCTGCTACGGGCGCATCTGGGCACAGCTGGCAGAGCCCCCCGTGAGTCCCCGCATCCCGGCCCGCTCCCGGGGAGCCCCCGCGGACGAGTCAGAGCCTTTGCCGCTGTCGGGGGACGCGACTCCCCGTTTCGGGGGCATGCGGCTCCTCAGCTCGCGGCGGGACGGGGCTCCTCTGTTCAGGGGGACACAGTTCGGCCCTTCCTGGGACATCTACTTCCCAGGGGATCCGGCTCCCTTGTTCATGGTCGAGGGGCACCGCTCATCTGTTCGGGGTGACATTTCTTCCCTCTTCCCGGGCATTTCCCACCCCTGATGGGACGGTCGGGACGCTGTGTTGGGGCACCTGCCGTCCCCAAAACGGTGACAGGCGAGCGGGCGCCCCCCAGGCTCCCCACGCTGCCAGGACCCCAGAGCGGGGCAGCGTTTTCCTCTCGGGGGCAACACAGAAATCTTCACAACGAACCCACGGATGCCGGGAAACCGGGACCCGACACGGCCCCGGGGCTGCGAGAAGCGGGAGGCATCGACCGGGCGAGCGCGGCCGTGCTGGGAAAGGGGCCGCTCGGCGCCGTGCCCAGTTCCTGGAGAATCGCGATATCGACCCGGAGGATAAAATAAATAAAATAATTTTTTAAAAATCCACCCTCTTTTCACCAACCGGGAACAAATCCCGGCCGGGCGGGCAGCTCGGTGCAAACACAGCCCCGGGCTCCGGCCCCAGGTCAGGGACGGGGGCAGCGCTGCCCATGGGGCCGGCTCTGGTTCTGTGTTTGCTCAGCACAGACTTGCAGGTGGGATTTAAAGCCAGGCTGCCCCCTGTGCCCCTCTGTCCTGCTCACTGCCCCCCACCATGTGCTCCAGATTGTGAGGCATCGTCCCCATCCCTCCTCATTGTCCCCATCCCTCCTTACTGTCCCCATCCCTCCTTATTGTCCCCATCCCTCCCCATCCCCATCCAAGGGTGACACTCAATGCTCTCCCCAACCCAATATGACCCTGCAGGGATCCTGCCAGTCCTGAGTCAGGGGAATCAGGAGGAATTGGGGTGCATGGGGTATTGGGGTGCCTGGGCAAGGGGGAGGACAGGGGTGGGAGAGGTAGAGCTGGGACAGGCAGACTGGAGGTGTTGGGAATGTGCCCAGGTTGGGCACAGCCGCTCATCCGGTGGCGGATGCAGCTGTGCGGTGTTGGACGCAGCCGTCCGGTCCCAGAGCACGGAGGCGGCGTGGAGGAAGGATGGGGACAGCCCCCCTCCCTCCCCCCAGCCCTCCCGAGGGATCGTTGCTACATGGCCCCAAACCGGAGGGATGCTGATGTCCCTGGGAAATGATGCTGTCCCCTCGGCTTGGGGACAGATAAGATCCAGACAGCTCTGCGTGTCACCTCGACCTGCTCCCGTCCCCAGAGCTGGTCCCAGTGCATCCCTGAGCATGGAGATGGTCCCAGAGCATCCCTGAGCATGGAGCTGCTCCCAGTGCATCCCTGAGCATGGAGATGGTCCCAGACCATCACTGAGCTCGGAGGTGATTGCAGCACATCCCTGAACCTGGGCTCGGTCCCAGCTCATCCCTGAGCATGGAGCTGCTCCCAGAGCATCCCTGAACATTCAGACAGCCCCAGAGCATCCCTGAGCACCCGGTGCTGCTTGGGACCACAGGTACCTTCTCCAGAGGTTTCCCCAAAGGATTCAGCCACAGCCAGACCTTGCTTGGGAGGAACCTTTATTCCTCCCGTCAGAACCTCCCGTCTCCGGAGGCCTCAGCGGTAGAAGAGCAGCACGGCAGCCTCGAGGATCTCCTTGGAGGTGCTCCAGGCCGTGTGGGTGCCGTAGCCGTTCCAGGTGTACGCGGGGAAGTCGCCGCATTGCTGCGGACTCGCCTCGGGGAAGTACCCGCCTCCGCCGATGCAGTGCTGGGGGCAGCACGTGGTGGCATCACCCACAGCTGCAGGGCACACCCCAAAACCACCTCGGGGTGCAGTGGTGTCTCCCATGACTTGTGACAGTTGCAAGGTGCCAATACCCCTTGCACCCCCCTTGCACCCCAAATCTGCACCTGGGTTTTGGCAGAGGATGGCGAGGGGAGGGACCACAGCAGCATCACCCGCAGCTGCAGGGCGCTGGGACCCAGTGCACCCCAAAACCACCCCACTGCATCCCCCATGGTTGGTGCCAGTTGCAGGGTGCCAATACCCCTTGCACCCCAAAACTGGTGTGGGCATCGGCCACTGCTGCAGGGGCCCCAGTGCCCCCGCTGCCGCCCCACGGGGACTCACGTGCTCCGTGTTGCAGCCCGTGACCTTCATGCCAGGGCACAGAGCCATCGCCGCCCTCTCGTTGTTGAAGACCCGGAACTGGAGGAAGCCGGGGATAAATTCCTCTGTGCAGGAGCGGGACAGTGAGGCGGCTGGGGCCACGGGCACTCGATGCCACCACCACGGTCGCCCCAGGGCGCTCACTTTGCCCATAGGGCGAGTAGTATCTGGAGGCGACCTCCGGCGAGCCGAAGTCGTAGACCACGGGCACCGCCGGACCGTTGTTGTTCAGGCACTGCCCAGCTCCGTATTTCACCGGATATTTCTGGAAAGGGGGAAGAGCCGCGATGCTGCGGGTGCACGGGAAGGGGGTACCGCAGCGCAGGGGTGTCGCGGGGCCGGCGGTACCTGGAACAGGCGGAGCAGGTTGCCACCCTCCTCGGCGAGGAAGCCGCTGTGCGTGCGGTAGCGCAGCAGGGCCCGCGGCTGCCACTCGCCCATGGGCGCCCGGTTGGGCACGTGCCACACGGCCATGTCCCTGGCACCAAGGTCGTAGTAACCTGGGTTCTGCCGGCGCGGGCGGCACGGTTGTCACCGGGACGCGATGCCACCGGGGGCCACACGCCCACCCCTGCGCCCACCTTGTAGTCATCGGCGGTGGCGCCCACGGCGGAGCCGAAGGTGCTGTTGTCGGCCCAGGCGCCGTCGCCCTCGGGCCACAGCGGGTTGTTGCCCTGCTGGCTGGACCAGCGGTCGCCCACGGTGCACTTGCCGTGCGCGTTGTTCTCATGCACGCTGGCCACCAGCGTCCAGCCGCCGCCGGCCGTGCCCATGTCGCAGAAGGTCTGGTAGATCTCGCCGTCCGCCGTGCGCAGCATGTAGAGCCCGTCTGCGGCGCCGGCATCGGCCACCGTGGTGGCACCGGCCACCCGCCCCGCGTTGGCGCTAGCCACCCCCTGTCAGCGCTAGCCACCCGCGTCCGGCACCGCGGAGCCCCCGGGATGGGACCCGTGGCGCCGCTCACCTTTGGCCGCCCGGTTGGTGGCCTTGATGTCCTTGCAGCTGCGGGGCAGGGTGGCGTTGAGGGCGTCCGGGTGCCCGGGGGGGCCGTGGCAGGAGCAGCCCGGGTCCTCCCAGCTGTCCAGCACTTGGCGCAGGGCGCGCTTGAGCTCGGCCGTGCTGCCGGGGCCGCCTGTGCCGCACGGCACCGGCACGGCTCGCACTGTCCCCGTGGCCGGCAGCGTTCCCATTCCCACCTGCACCTGGCTGCCCCCCTGGCTCACGCGCCCCTTCCTGATCCCTTTGGGTGCACCATGAACCCCGCTGCACCCCCATCCCCCCTGCGCCCCCATCCTGTGTGCCCCCAACTGCCCATGCCCCCCGTCCTTGCCCATGTACCCATTCCCTGATCCCCAATGCACCCCGATCCCTCCAAGGTCCCAGTTCTCCCGACTCCCTGTACCCCCCTGCCCTACAGCCCCCCAACACCCCCCACTCCCGCACCCCCTTTGCCCCACAGCCCCCCGTGTCTCCGGAGCCCCTCACCACAGTCCGGGAGCACTGCGGGCGGCAGCAGCAGCAGCAGCACCAGCGGGGCGAGCGGCTCCATGAGGCTCTGTCGGAGCAGGAACGGAGCGGCCGGGGCTTGGACAGGGTTGTTGGACCCTCACAGGGACCCCAGGGCCAAATCTGGGGCCTCAGGGACACGGGGAGAGGGAGGGCAGTGGGGGGAAACCCTGGGGTTCTCGTTGGGATGGGACCCCGAGATTGGGATGGAGAGGAATGGGGGTGATGGGGAGGGATGGGATTATGCCTTGGGATGGGGAGTGTGGGGGGGAATGGGGGATACTGGGGACGAGGCACCGCAGCGGGGATCACGGGGCCGGGGCGGGTTAACGGACAGGGCAGGAGGGACGGGGGCAGCTCCGGGCACCCTGCACCGAGCCCAAACCGGGAGCACGCAGCACCCCAGGGCGCCCAACGGGACCTGCCCAGGGTGCTGCTGTCGCCGCTCTGGGCACCTACCGGGGGGGACGGTGCGCTCGGGGGGCCCCCGGGGGCTGCAGCGGCGCGGGGCAGAGCGGGCACCGCGCGGGCTCCCGGCCCCGGCTTTAAATCCCGCCCGCCGGCCGCGCTGAGCAAACAGCGACCCGGAGCTGCCCGCGCCTCCCGGATGGGGAGCGCTGCCCCGAGGCGCTGCCGCCGCCGTGTCCCCCCGATTCCCCAGGGAGCGGCGCAGCTGGCTGCCGAGGGCCCTGTTTGCCCAGGGCAGAGCCTTCGGCCTCGCCGCCCGGCCGGGAGCTGCCGGCGGCGACAGGGAATAAAGCGGCTTTGTCCTGGCCGGATGGCAGGGGCAAAGTGGGGGCAAACTGCGGCGGTGATAAGGGTAATAATAGCAATAAAAGATAATGATGTAAAGCGGGGAGGAGGGAGCCGCGGTGTCGGGGTGGGTTTTGAGCACCTCGTCGAGGGTGTCGCGATGCTTCCGTGGGTGCTGGGGCTCTGCAGCGGGTGCTGGCACCTCACTTGGGTTGTTGGCACCTTGAGAGGTGCTGGGACACTCCTGTGGGTGCCGGGGCCTCAGCAAACGTGCTGCGATGATCCTGGGGGTGCTTAGACCACCGCACCCCTTCTGCAAGTGCTGAGACCTCAGCAAGGGTTGGCGCCTCAGCAAAGGGGTTAGGATGCTCCTATGGGTGCTAAGATCTCCTCGAAGGTGCTGAGATGCTCCTGTGTGGGTGGCAGGATCTCAGCAAGGATGCTGAGACCTCATCAAGGGTGTTAGGACCCTAGAGTGGGTGTTGGGACCTCCTCAAGGGTGCTGGGACCTCCTCAAGGGTGCTGGGACCTCCTCAAGGGTGCTGGGATGCTCCTGGGGGTGCTGGGACCTCCTCAAGGGTGCTGGGACCTCCTCAAGGGTGCTGGGACCTCCTCAAGGGTGCTGGGATGCTCCTGGGGGTGCTGGGCCCTCATCAAGGGTGTTGTGATGCTCTTATAGGTGCTGGGATCTTGCTGTGTGATATAGGACATGCCCTGCACCCCCTGGCCGCTCCTGTACCCCCCAGCAGCCCCACACGCCACCCTGGCTTGGGCACAAGGTGACACCAAGCCCAGGGACGCCACCTGATCCTGCTGGAGATGCCACCACGGCCCTGGCAGCACCCGTGTCCACACGGGCACGCGGCTGCACCGAGCGCCCTCTCACCCTGCCCCCTGGTTCCCCCCATCCCTCCACAGCAGGAAGGGGAGACCCACAAGAAGCCGACCAGGAGTAACGGGCCGGTTTGGGCCCATTTTCTGGAATTGCGGCCGTAGCGGCAGGAACTGCAGAGCAGCAGGGCCCCGAGAGTCCAGAAGAGCTTTATTTTCTCCAAATCTCCATGGATCCCATTAGGATGGGAGCTGTTGGGACACTGTTAGATAGGGACCCAGGCACCCGTCCTGGGTGCCTTTAGGAAGGTCCTGGGTGCCTTTAGGTGCCTTTTTCCCACCCAGAAGCAGCTCCAGCTCCACCTCGCAAGCCCCAGCCACCAATGCCAATGAGCTGCAGAGGACCCAGGGGGAGATGTCCCTTGTGTCACCTGGGGATGTCACCCTTGGCCAGCCAAGAGCATCCTCGGGCTCTTCCCAGCTCCGTCCTGATCCAGGATCCCGGAGCCCGTGCCCCTTTTCTCCATGCTGGGGGGCTGCCAGGTTTCCTCGAGCGGAATTTGGACAGGTAGATTTGGAGGGGGGGACGGGGAGGGGACACGCTCTGCAGCCCCTTCTAGGCTGGAAAAACCCAAAGGGGACCCGTGGTCACAACCTGGCCCCACGGAATCTGCTCAGGGACATGGCGAGGGCAGGGGAGGTCACCGGTCTTTCGGGAACGGCTGTTTTGGGATCAATGCCAAGCAGGAGGGTGGAGCGGGACCATCCAATGACTCTTGTGCACCGGAGCCGGGAGGGACAAGCCGGGAAGCCGGGGGGTCCATGGGGATGCCGGGCGCTCCACGCTGCTCGGGTGCCTCTAGGAGGTTTTGCGCTCGAGGGTTTCGTACATCTCCTGGCTTTCCGTGGTGAGCCCCTGGTGGGAAGCAGGGGTGGGAAGTTATGGGAGCACCGTGGGATGGGAGCTTGGGAGCGAGGCCGGCTGCTGGCGCCCTGGGTGGCGGCTGCTGGGTGTCCACGTGGATGCGGCACCCATGGGATAGAGTACACTGTGGGTCCCTGGGGGGTATGGCACCCATGGGTGACAGCACACAGAGGATAGATGGGATAGAGAGCGCTTATGGGATACAGACACCATGGGATATAGCATCTCGCAAGACAGAGCATCCATGGGATGCAGCACCCAACGGGATATGGAGAGTTTGGGCACCCCATGGGATCTGGGCCCCATGGGATACACTAGTCAAGGGGTACAGACCCAAGGCATACAGCCCCCATAGGACAGGGCACCCCACGAGACACAGGACCCACGGGATAGGGAACTTCATGGGAAACACCACCTACAGGATAGGGCACCCCACAAAACAGAGCACCCAAGAGAGAGGGACCCAAGAGGCCGCAGCACCCCGAGGCACCCCATGAGCGTCAGCTCCCCATGGCATTGGGCATTCCATGGCATAAGCAACTTGCAGCATGCAGACCCTGTGCAAACCCTCTGAGATAGGGCACCTCGTGCCAAACGGCACCCACGGGCTACAGCACCCAGGGGTCCTGCGCCAGCCGCCCCGTGGCCGGCGGGGAACAAACCAGGATGACTTACGGTGTAGATGGATTCTCCTTTGTGCTGCAGAAGAGAAAGAGAAAGAGCTGAGCGGGGTCCGGCGGCACCGGAGCTTCCGCGTGGCCCGGTCAGCCCCGGCGCGGCGCCCGCCCGGCGCCCACAAGCAGAAGTGGGAGCGGGGAGCGAGCACGGGCAGACGCTGCCGCGGCAGCGAGGAGCTGCCCAGGCTTCTGGTGCAAGCCGTGCGCTCATCCCGGGAGCGCCAGCACCCCCGGAACCCTTCGGGGAAAAGCTCCTCACCTCCCTGGCTGCTCTGGAGCTCTCTTGGGATGCTCTCTTGACCTGGACCTGCAGGAAGGATGGAGAAAGAAGGGGAAAAAACAACCCCGGGTGGGCTCTTCGGCAGCACTCACTGAAGCCTCCGCGTTATTCCCCGCCTGGGATGCTCCCGAACTTGGACACTACGACCTCCGGATGCTCTGTGCAGGGATGGAGCCTCCATCCCATCCGCGATGATGTGGATGCGACCTGGTCCGTGGACCGGCCGGCGGCCGCTCACCTTGAGGTGACAGTAGAGCCCGGTGAGGACGATGCCGTAGAGGAAGAGGATGGCATCCAGGACATAGCAAATCTCCGGCTCCATCAGGGCTTCTGGAGGGGGGACAACGCGGAGAACGTGGGAGCCCCTGTGTGGGAGCACGCGGACGTCACGCTGTCCCCCGCGCTGGCGGGCGCCGCTCCGAGCGCCGCGGCCGGGCTGGATACAGCCCTGCAGCGGGAGCAGAAAGGGCAGCGGTTGCCGGTGACGGCTCGAGCGCGGGCTGGGAGCGGCGGGCGGGCGCGCCGAGGCCGTTGGCGCTGCCGGGCGCGGCGGGATGCGGCGCCGACACAGCTGCAGCGGCGCAGGTGGCTGCCAGGGCCAACGGGTCTACCCAGGCCCGGGATGGGGAACAGGGGAGGTGGGACGTGACGGGCACTGTGGGCAGCTCTGACCCCGGTTTGGGGGGGAAGCGGGTATCTGGAGGGCGCTAAGCTCTCGTCCCTGTGGTGGGATCATCGCCTTTTGCTCCCTGTAGGGCCACTCCGGGATGCTGGGATCCCTGGTTCTCACCTGCTCCATGTCCCACCGCGAGCCGGGGACAGGGGACGGAGCCACACGAGGACCGCACGGAGCCCAGCAGGGCAGCGGCGCGGCCCCGGTGTCCCCGTGCCGGACGGCACCAGCAGATCCGCGGCACTCGGGGACAACCCGACGGACCCAGGGGAGCCCGTGCCCTTCCCAAAGTGCTGCCGGAGCGCAAGGACAGCACCAAACGCGCCCAAACAAGGGACAAGGGACATCCTAATGCCAACAGGGCTCACCTGCCCCCACGCAACCCCCCTTACCTGCCTCTCGCGCCCACAGCAGCAGCAGGACGAGCACGAGGCGGGTGGTCATCCCGGCGCCCCAGGCCGCCGGAGCCGCCGCCGCGTCCGGCCGGACGTCACGGCCGAGGCTCCGAGACCGCAGAGCAAACGCCCTCCTCCGCTCGTGACTTACGTGGCCCTCGCGTCCCCCCCACCCTCCAAGGCCCGCGGTTTCCTTTTCTCAGCCCCGTGTCGCGTTAGGGAACTCGCCCGGCGCTGGAGGCTGGTTTCTCTTCCAGGAAGGGGCAGCAAGCGCTTAGCAGGACCGTTACTCAAGGCCCCGCGTGAGCTCGTCCCGAGTAATACGTGACAAGCCGGGACTCAGCCCCAAACACCCTGTTTGGGACAGGAAGGCTCCAGCGGGGAGCTGGTACCAGGCGGTCCCCCCTTCCCATGCCCTGGGGCTCGAGGGTGCACAAGGGCCAGCTCCAAGGTGCAACCTGCAGCCCCACGGGGCACGTAAGGGGAAGCGGAGGCAGAAAACGCCGTAAAATCCCACGAAATCTCCCTCGGGTCTCCCCCAGGCTGGGGAAACCGTCCCCTGGGGAGGGAGGACGTGGGGAAGGGAAGCTCGTGACCGCAGGCCTCGCACAGGAAGAGGGAGGAAAAGTGATTCAGCCGGGATCGGTGGAGATGGAGGAGGCGAAGGACAGGGTGGCAGCAGCTCCAAGCTGAGCAACAGGCAGGACAGTTTTGTCTTTATTTGACTTCGGCTGAAGAACGCGGGGGACGAGGCAGAGGAGGAGCCGCCCCGGGCACGCGGGGCGGCGCGCGGCGCAGGCGCCACCTCACCGGTCCACTTCGCCAAACACGATGTCCTGCGTTCCTGGCAAGAGGAGGAGAGAGATTAGGGCAGGTTCAAGCCCTAATCCAGCCCCCAAGGGCAAGGAAGGAGCTTGAGGGGCTTGTGCCTTCAGCCCAGGAGCCCTTACCGATGATGGCCACGACGTCTGCCAGCATGTGGCCCTGTGACATCCTATCCAGTCCAGCCTAAGGAAGAGAACAGAGGGCACCCATGTCACCCTGGAGCCTTCCTCCTCCGCCACGAGGATGGCTGGCAGCACCCGCACTTTGCTCGAAGCTCTGGGAGCCCCTCAGCAAGTTGACATCCCGGCCTCGGGCCTGGCACGTGGCAAGGGGTGACAAGGAGAGGGCTCCGGGGGACTCTTGAGGACTTCCCCGAGGACACCCAGCACCCTGGACGTGGCGCTGGGCCCTTCCCTGCCAGCTGCTGTCGGCCACACGGGTGGCACAGGAGGGCGGTAAGGAACAGAGCCAGCGTTTGATCCGGAAACCATTCGGAGCAGCTGCCCCGGGGAGAAAGGGCCCTGCCTCTCGCCCAGATTCCCAAACCCAGGAGGCAGATCTCCCAAATCCCACGTGGGGCCCCATTTGCAGGGCGCGCTGGGGCAGCGCCCTGCTCCCTCTGGGTGACAGGGCTCCCACGGTGCAGGGTCCGGCAGCGGGAGGGGGGCAGCCCCCGCCGGCCCCGGCGCAGGGAAGGAAGTGGTCAATTATCAGCAGAGAAAGGAAACCAGCCCGAAGAGCGGAAGCACGAGAGGCTTCGGAGCGCACGGCAGCTGAGGGACAGCCGGGGCCTGCAGGAGCAAGCGGCCCGAGCGAGCAGGGACGGGCCCCGCTTCGTCCGTCCAGCAGGAATTAACCCCCTTCCGAAGGGGGAACCTTGTCCTGCAGCAGCAGGTCTTCAAGTGCCCCCCAGTTCTCCAGCTCCACTGGCTCTTCCAGCCCCACGGATCACCTACCAGGTGGGCAAAGCCGGGCGCCTTGATCTTGCAGCGGTAGGGGCGGCTGCTGCCATCCGAGACAAGGTAGATCCCGAATTCACCCTGCGAGGACACGGGGACAAGGTTGGTGACAGGCAGGGATGTCAGAGCCACAGAGCCCAGCGTCCACGAACACGAGCGGGCACCTTGGGGGCTTCGATGGCCGTGTAGGTCGCGCCGGGGGGCACCTGGTAGCCCTCCGTGTACAGCTTGAAGTGATGGATCAGGGACTCCATGGAGGTCTGCGAAGAGAAGGGGGGTCACCGAGGCAGCTCGCGGGCAGGCACGTGGGGACAGGGGACACTGCACGCGCTCCCACCCGCTCCGCTTCCGTGAGCGCAGCCTCATGCGTGGGAACCAGAGCCGGCAGTGACAAGAGTGAAGCAATAAGGCCGGGCAGGACCCACCCAAGCTCCTCTCCCTGGCTCGCAGCAGGCCCTGGCCATTGCCACGAGCTGTTTTTTCTGGCTGAAAGCAATGCAGCAAACCCAAGTATTCGCACTCGAGTGCATGCAGAAGCCTGGCATCCAGAGCCCTGGCGCAGGCTGCCCGGGGAGGCTGTGGAGTCTCCTTCTCTGGAGGTCTCCAAACCCACCTGGATCCTGCCCTGTGGCCCCCCCGTGCTCTGGGTGTCCCTGTTGGAGCAGGGAGTTGCACTGGATGATCCCTAGAGGTCCCTTCCAACCTCAACCCTTCCGTGACGCTGTGAGAAGTGCCCAGAGCCTCCCTGAGCACCGCGCGTGGCAGAGGTGGCAGGAAGGGAGGCAGCACAAGAGGCCAAGCAGCCCCCAGCCACACAAAACCCCTGCCCACCTGCAGGGCACGCAGACAGGTGTCACAGGCCAAAACAAAGCCCAAGAGCGTGGCACCAAACCGCATTTCCTGCTCATCCGCACGAGTGCCGACACGCAGGTGGCACGAGCTCAGCCCCTGGGCACTTGTGGCGGCCCGTGGGGCGAGTAACAGAGCAAGGTAACTCCTACCTTCATCTCCGCCCGCTTCGGAGGGGAGATTTTGGCGTCGTCCACTTTGATCTCCCCCTCGGGCATCTTGTTGAGGCACTGCAGGATGATGCGCAGGGACTGGCGCATCTCCTCGACGCGGCACAGGTACCTGGCACGGCAGAGCGCGGCTCAGCCGCCCGCCCGGGCTCTGGCAGCCTGGCGAGGTGCCCGTGCCGCCCAGCCCCGGGACGAGACCGGGGCCCCACGGAGGAGGCCTGGCCCCGCGGAGGCCCCGGCACCGCGTACCTGTCGTAGCAGTCACCCCGCGAGCCGATGGGGACGTCAAACTCCACCTGGTCGTAGACGTCGTAGGGCTGCGTTTTGCGCAGGTCCCAGTGGATGCCTGAACCTCGCAGCAACACCCCGCTGAGCGGAGAGAACCGGGTGAAAAACGGGCACAAAACGGGGTCCCACAGCACCTCCCCGGACAGCGTGGGGACCGCAGGCGCACAGGGACAGCGCGACAGACCCATCTGCACCACTGGGTGGCACTCCGAGCACAGCCATGGCCCCCAAGGTGGCTCGGCTGAGCCCTGGGGACTCGTGCCATCAGGCCTGAGCTTTTGGGGTTCACTCTGCTCCTCTTGAGGCTGTGCGGAGCCTGCCAGAGGCTGACACCGACTCTCCAGAGCCAAGGAGGGCGCCCACAACAGCCCCGTGTCTTCCTAACGGCCCTTCAACCACGTGGCCTGACATCAGCCCTGGGTGGCCTCGACCACAGGACCTACCTGAACCCGTAGTTGAGGGCCTCCTCCGCCGTTATGACCCCGATGTCCACCGTGCGGTTCTTCCAGATGCGGTTGTTGGTGAGCATCTGCAGGCAGCGGGGTGTTAGGAGCCCGCGCGCAGCCAGCGCCGTCCTGCCACCCAGCCCGGGGCAGCCCCTTGCTCCAGGCACGGATTTGGGGCGGTGCTGGACGCCGCCTTTTAGCTACGGTGTGGTCCCAGCCAGCTCGGCCCACTGGTGCCACTGGGGGAATGTCCCGGGGGAGCGGGGACAGGCGCCACCTTGCCACGACGGCCCTCAGCGTGCTGGGAAGCGGGGAGCATCCCACCCCCGCGTCCCCAAACTGCTCATCGCAGCATCCCACCTCTTCCACCTCGTCTATCCGTATGGAGAAGTTCTTCACAAACTCATAGATGTCGTCCATCAGCCCCAGGGGCAGGTCCTGTGCGGGAAGAGGGTGACACGAATCCACGCACAGCCGGGAGCTGCTGGAGGGACCAGCACCCACACACGGATGCCCCATCCGCCTCCACCAGACCAGGAAGCGCCCGCAGGGAGCCCCTTCTCCAGCATCCCACGAGCTGGTTGTCACCCGAGGGGACAAGCTGCCAGCTCGCGGGCGCTGCGGAGCCATGGGGCCGGACCACAGCCCTTACCTGGTGCACGCCGCCGGGGCGGATGTAGGCGGCGTGCATCCGAGCCCCGGAGACCCGCTCGTAGAACTCGAACATCTGCAGGGCGAGAGGGCAGCTCGCTGCAGCCCCGCTCCCAAGGCACCGGCACGCACCCCAAAATCCACCCCCACGTCACAGGCATAGCTTGTCCCCGTGGAAAGCTCGGGGGGCTTGTGCAAGAAGAGCTCCTGCTGCAAAATCCTCCCTGAAGCCCCTTGCGAAGCAGCTAGCGGCGGAGAAGGCGCCTGAGGTTCTGCAGAGGGGCCCGTTGGCTCCACCTGATGGCCACGAGCTCATCTGCAGGGCTCTGATCTTCCTCCAAACGACTCCAGTTCCAAGCACATCTGAAGCCAGATCTACAGCATCCTCCAGCACTGCCACCAGCTGCAGCCCCTAGTGCTTAGCGAAACCCCCAAGGTCAAGAACTCCAGGTCTGCAGCCTCCAGGCAGGCCAAACCACAGCCTGGATGGTTGCTTCCCATGGTAATTTCTCCCCGGCACAAGCACTTTTAGGATCTAAGGCTCAAAACAGCTTCTCCTGAGGGATCCTGGAAAAGGGATTCTCTCCTGTGAGATCTCCCATCCTCTTCCCGGTTGCCTTGTGGGGACGACAGTTTTCCCGGGAAGGGGGAACCCTGCCAGGCCTCTCTGGGTACCTGCTGTGCTGCCACTTACCTTCTCTCTCTCCTCAAACATCCAGAAGAAGGGGGTCATGGCCCCGATGTCCAGCGCGTGCGTGGTGACAGCCATGATGTGATTGAGGAGCCGGGTGATCTCTGCAAAGAGGACTGGGCACGGAGAAATGGTGTCAGGAACGAGGGCTGGCACGGGCTGGCAAAGGA